CTTCTTTGAACCAAGCATAATCTGAACCATCCGTATGGCCATTGAGGCAATTTCCTTCAATCTAAAAAGGGGTCATCAACAAAGAGAAGCGAGCTACAAAGGATCCGAGAAAGAAGAGAAGGTAAGTCGTGTCTTATCTGGGTTTTCTCTAGCGCTAAGGCCCGAAAAATTCAATCTTTTTTTACCAATCGTCGTTTGATACTAGCTTCACTTTATAATTGAAGTCACGTTCGGAAAAACAATGACTTTGGCCTTCATCGCCTAAAAAACCTCGCGCCGGTTCATCGCTCGAATAACATTTCAAAGTGTTCGTATTCTTCAAGTTATTTCTTGTCCTGTCGTTTGCAATGTTTTACACAGTCGTGGTGTTAATGGAAAAGAAGTTATCTTACGGATTTTGTTTTGCCTACAAAGCTTTCAAATGATAGCGAACGGCGAGCGCAAGTTTCTATCTCTCCCTCTCTTCAGTCAACTGTCGCAGGATTTACTTTAAGTATTTTAAAAAGTCGCGCTTTTTCGAAGAAATGTTGTTTTAGCCTAAGAACGAAGTAGTGACTTTTCCCAAAATTCAAATAAAATGAAATTGAGTCAGCGATGTCCATGTTTACATTAAATCTGACGCGGCCATTTGATTTTGACAATATTGTCATGTGAGAACCCGTCAAAGATCTGAGAATTAAATTACGGATCGTAAATGTGTGGTGCAAACAAACTCTCAGGTGAAGTGGAGTTAGTTCTACTGCGGAATGAATGAATTTCATTGTTAAGTCATGGTACTTTTCAGCGCTATGTTTTGATGTTTTCTACTCGATTCGTTCGAACTTCAGGAAATGGTTTCAACTGTCTCACAAAACATGGAGCCACTTTCTCTTTGCTCAACATCTCGCGGCGTACGTAATGCTCGGGTTATGATGAACATGCCTGCCATAAGATATTTTTTTCCTAATGCTGGAAACTGAAAAATTAATCTCTGAAATCGATATTGATCACATTTTGCAAGAAGCGTCTGAGCTGTGATCGTGTAATTAAACGGGATCTTGGCAATTTGAGCTCACAAGCACGCTGGTAAGCACATGGTTAGAGTAAATAATTGTTGTTTACAGTTTTGGGAGCCGTTTTTGAGAGTCCGTTTCTGTAACCTTCCTGGATATTTTCTGTTGAATTCATTGAGGTACAGTCTCGGAATTTCATAAGTGATTATGAACGATAAATTCGTATCGGCACCATAATTTAGGGAGGTTTTGTTAACACATTCTCAGTTTACAATACGTGTACCATTTCTGTAACCTGCTTGGATATTTTCTTTTGAATTAATCGAGTCACACTCTCGGAATCCGTATATGTAGCACACGTGAAGCACATTTTAAACTTTGCAAACGATTTTAGGAAACTATACTTAATTGACTCTCGATAAATTGGCCTGCCATAACGCCTTTATTATTTAATTATTTTGTAGCCCCAAAAGCTCGGCTTATGACTCTGGAGGAACTGAACTTAATATATTTGATACACAAGGAAGTCTTCAAGGAGGAAGGTTAGAATAAAATTACATTTACGACCCTATATTGCACCCGGTTTACATATGTAGACAATTACTTAAAAGATACCTATTAAAGCTGTATTCAGAAGCAAACTCAAGTAGGTAATAGGCTTCTGCCTTATTTTTATAGTAAGGGATTTCTATCTATGTAAAATATATCCATCCTTTAATTTCCCCTTTAACCTGCCTGCAAATAATTAAATTTTATGTTTTGATTCAAGTGTAAGAAAACAAAACAGAAGTGTTGCAGAGTTTTCTTTCCAGACGGAATTCAGGTGAAAACATCAGTAAACTAGTTGATGTCATATGCTTCTCCTGAATCTTTAATTTTATTGCTTTGGTTTTTCCCACAAAGCTTCTCTTATATCTCTGTGTGCCAGCTAATGATTAAAATCTCAATGAATAGATGCCACATTTTAGTAGTTGTTTTTAAATTCCATCTATAAGTTTTTGGCTTTTACTATTTTAAAATTCATGAATGGCATTCTCTTTTCATCTATGTAAAGATATATCACATATTTCTTAAACTAAAATGTGAATCATGAAGTTAACTTAATTTTAATGAGTTTGAAACTTCATTGTACATAAGAACACTTTCTTGGAGTATGTTACATTTATTCGCTGTCTTTCTGGTACATATGATTACATAACCCTGTAACTTTCAAGATTTCATTAGTAATTCTCCTTACTGTCTGCCAAACAATTTATGTGCTGTTAGGTTGGAGAATTTGGAATTGGATCAACTAATTATCCATTCTTTATTCTCATTACTTGTCTGTTTGATATTGTACTGATGGTGTAAGGAGAAATTCTGTCTAGATCACTAGTGGGACCAAAAGGGTTAACATGGGGGATTTCATTATATTATGATGATTAAAATTTTTTAAAATGTACCAAAAAAAAAATGTGAAGAGAATCTGATGTTATGAGACAATGGAAAAACCTGTTGCTGGTTTCTTGTCTTTAATGTGTAAATGTTCATGGGAAATGTTTTTTTTTTATTTAGGGAGGATACAGAAGTTTTCAAAGCTGATAGAAATAAGCTGTTTGCAAGTAATGAAAAGCAAACTGACAATCATACCTTAATGCTTGACACGCTTCACTCAAACATGTCAGTTGTGTGTACCTACTATTGTAGAGGTGTCTTTCTTGTGCTGTGGTTCATGAGCCATCACCTCTCTTTGAGTCCAGCTTTGTTTACCCCCATTGCACCTGCCTTAAACCAACATCCACCAGAATCCTTTGAATAGTAGATACTAACTAGAAAGAGGCCTCAGAAGTCAGCATTAAGTTTGGTCTTTACTCGTGATAAATTTTGTAAACAAACAAGGGGTTTCTCTCATCAGAAAGCCAGTACTTCTGACAGGTTCTTCATGATTGGACAAAACATTTTCTCCACACGTGAAAATGTCGTTTCTATGATTTGATTGGCTGTAAACAGCTGTGAACAGCAAAAATACTTGACGGATCAAAATATTTACTTAATGACCAAGTGGGAGGTCTGCGCATCATGATCAAGTGCCAATATTTTCTGTCCAATGAGTACAGGAATGAGCCAGTTTGAATGTGTCTCCAAAAATTCCACTTAAAACTTACTTTTGTCTCCTTGGAGCCCCCTTAAAATCTTGCATGGTTATAAGTCAGTGGACACGCATTAGGAACCAAGGAAGGTTCATGCATTACTGTTACATTACATGCAATAATAAGATGTGTGAAAAAGTTACTCAGTTCTCATTGGTTAAGGTAAAAGCAGCTTTTAGGTGATTCAATGCAGAAGAGGGTTTATTTAGTGCAAAGAAGTAACAAACCAGACTAAACAATTCCTTGAAATGTTTAGCCAGACTTTGAATTTTTTTGTGCTCAAAAGATTGGAAATTATCATGGTATATTATTGTTTGGATCATACGCAGTTGTTTTGACCAAATGCACAATGTCATTTGCAGGCTTTGAATAAATTATTTTTGCACTTGATGCACATGCTTTGCATCTGCATAATTAATTATCTCTTTTTTTTCCATGTTTATTATTAATACATAATCACATAATTTTTCTCCTGCAGTTTGGAATAAATAAGCACAAGTAAATTTTTTCAAAGACCAAAAATTGCACTCGCCCTCGGGCTCGTGCAATTTTATTAGTCTTAGGAAAAATTTACTCATGCTTATTTATTCCAAACTGCATTTGAAATCATGTGATTACCCATACTTCTTAATGATTTTCTGTTTATGGCGTGCTCTTAATAGAAGGAAAAGTGGTTATGATGCAATCTTACTATAAATCAGACTCACCAAAATATCAAAAAGGCCAAGATGGTTCTTGTAATGGTAGAAAATCTCTTCCGGTTTTAGATTTCAAATTACAATTTTCTCTTATTTTCCCCTGTTTGTATTCTTTAACAATTGGTTCATACATCAGCGTGCATTCATCGAGATATCAAGCACACGGAAAGTTTGGAGGGCACGAAAGATGCGTAAGAGCTCTTAAGCTTCCTCCCTAGCTTCTTGAGTGCTCTCCAAACTTCCCAAGGGCTTCATATCTCAATGAACGCACAGCTGACATATGAACCAATTGTTTTGTAGCATTTTCAACCCAATGGTTTAAATGTTGTAAAAGGGTTAATATTCCTTCTGCTACGCTTCAGCACGTTGATAATTTTGTTTCAGAAAAACATTTCACCACGCTGTAAATGATCGTGTCTTAGATTGGTGAAAAAACTGACAGGTGAATTCATGCGTGTAAATGAACTTTATTTCCTGATTGAATACAAAATTCTCTGAGGGATTTGTTTGCTGACGTCACAAGCATGCACGATAGGAATATGAAGCACACTCATGCAATTGAATTTGATTAGACAAATTTACTAGCTATGTTATAAAATGAATTAATCGTATGGCAGCAAGTAAGGGAAATTTACATTTTCATGTTAGTTTGATTCTTGCCTGGTTTAAAAAGCTCAGTCATTAAATATATGCCAGGCATAAATTGACTTCACTAATTAAACAGCAGTATGTTTCACTTAATTTTCAACAGTGTCACACTTAATATTGTGAACTTTTACTCCTTCTTTTTGTTAAATAGACTTCTGTCAAACATGCATAACAGACAGGGTCTTGTTTCTGCTTGCATGGTTCATTTACAGGATATTTAAAGATATTCATCAAAGAGGAGGGAAATAATTTGATGTAATGTTTCCGCCTCAACTCTTTGTGGGAAAATAGTTTGCCCAGGTAACATGACTTGTAAACCAATTGAAATGAAGGAATTTTAATGGCCTGTGGGTAGTTTTTAATTGAGCTCCATCAGCTGGTACAGAATTTTCAAAATTTTTTCCATTCATAACCCAAAATTATTTAATTTGAATTAGCTGAGAGGGAAAGGTCACAACTTGAAAAGGTTTCCTCCAAACTCGAGTTGTGTTGATTGATTCTGTATGTTTAAATTTATTTGATTTTTAGGGTACTCTGAAGGACGGAACACAATTTGATGGCAGTATCCCTTGAGGAGAACCATTTGTGTTTACATTAGGAGTGGGACAAGTTATCAAAGGTGGATACTTGTGATATAGCATGCATGACTATGTGCAAAATGGGCTGATAATTGTAGTTTGCTGTGCTACTATGCATTTAGGCAAGTGATTGCACTTTCTACTGGTTTAGCAATGAATTGGCCCAATTGTGGGAAGTGGGGAGAAGGCAAGAAACATTTGGACATCACAAGCTAATGGGAATCTATTACTTTAATTTATAAACAAGCATTGGGTTTGTTGGTTTGATAAACTTTAGGTTTCTGAATGATTATACTTAACTTAGTTCCTCAAACATCTCATATGTTTTTTTTTACCCAACTGTTTTATTTTATAGTCATTTGTTATAAGGCAGGGAAAACAAAGCAAATAGAGGAGTGGTTTGGGACAGGTCTTGTAATGTTCTTGTTGGATTACATTGTAAAATAACCAACTGTCCAAACAGCTGTGCAATTTCACATGATATTTGTACTCAATTTGTGTGTTATTTGTACTTTCTGAGGGCAGCTGAATAATAATGTAAGATGGTGTATATTAGAAGTGTTTTTACTATTTAATAAGTCATGATTTAATTTTTGTTACAGGATGGGATCAAGGACTATTAAAGTAAGTTAAAACTATAGACCATTCATCATTGTTTCTAAGTCTTATTATACACAATAAATTCCTCTCTCCACTTTACTTAGGTTTTCAAACTACTTCCTCAAACTTTTAAAGAACTGTACAGAACTGTACCAAAAAGTAAACTGTGAAAAGCAAGCTTTTGAACTTTGTTGTTCCCTATTTTTGATTTTGTTAAAGTTGGGTGAATTTTGCAGTATAAGTGCCAATGCATATGAGTCATGGATAAGTGGTCTGGATTTAGTAGTCAGGTGTAAGAGAATTTCTGGCCGGTGATTCAGTGTTGAGTGTGCAAGCATGAAGTGCCAAGCATTGTGCGCACGACTTGGCAGGCATAGATGTATCTATACTTAGGACCTGACTTGTTATTCTCTGGGGGGTCTATTAAATCGACTTTTTTTTGCTCTCTCTACTTAAAGCTAAGGCTGAAGAGAACCTGAACAGTTATTAATAAACTGACTTCAAACCATTCAGCAAATGTGGAACTAGCAGCAAACCTAAAATTCTTTTTACACTTGTCATTTAACCTGTTCAATTACTTATGGACATTAAATTACAAAACATTAAAACCAACCTCTTTGGAAGTCTTTTTTATGCAATCTTGAAAAGCATCAGTTGATTAGTTAACAACTTGAAATACTGTTATTGCTAAAATTTAAAAAACTATGAAATATTTCTAGTCAGTAGAGTTAAGCCAAAGAGTTGTCATTTGATTTGGTATTGTTTTAGCGTACAAAATATAATCTTACATTTTTAAATGGGTACTTGAGTAGTACAACAACTGACAATGGCCAATGAAAAAGAGATTCAAGAGAATAGGGTCAGCTGGGAAGAGCTGAGGAGGAAAGGGAAGGAAAGGCAACAGTGATGTTCTCTTTTTATGATCATATATGTGCCTTAGGGCATGATGGGGACAGGCTGACTGACATATTGTATAGTTCCTGTAGTTCTTTTTGGTGCCCAGCTACCAGCTTTTCTGTTTTAACATTTTGTTGTTACTTACTCAAGGTATAATTAAACTTGTGGTTGTTATTGTTCATTAAAACTTTTTTGTGTTGTTTTTAGTATGTGTGAAGGAGAAAATATTTAAGTATATAATTTATGTCCAATGCAATGAATAATAGTTGCAGCTATACTAGTAGGATTGATAACAGGACAACTTACCATGCTTGAACTGTAAGCTTATACAGATAAATTACTTTATCTGTTACATACTAGCAAGCTGGATAACACAAGAATTTTAGCAGTTATATTGAAGTAATTTTCAGCTGTTTTTGCTATACTCAGAGGATTTTTCTCTCTTTTGTGCAGGTTATGGGGACAGAGGAGCTCCCCCTAAGATCCCAGGTGACTTAGCAGCTTGTGGTCAACAGAGACAATGCTGAGTCAGAGCATTACATGAACACTTGCGCTATTGATGCCAACCTCTGAAATTGTGAAATATGGAGAGATTCGATTTTGAAGTATGGCATCAAAGCCACCCCACCCACCTCCCCCACAGATTTGTTCATCGACACTCTGTCAGTCTCTCCTCACAGCCTGCAAGTCGCTAAATTGGATGCACATAATCTGACAAAAAAGGAAAAACCACAAAACTACAACTATCTTATTTAAGGAATTATTTTAAGTATTAATGGCTCATAATTCATATTGTCTACACTCTTAAACTATGTATTTAACTTAAGGTCACCAGAGAAATTTGAAGTAACCATGGTAATGCAAAACACAGGGCTACAAACCAAGTGGTCTATGAGCAATTGTAAAGTGGCAAATAAAAATTCCTTAACACTTTGACCCCTAAAAGTGACCAGCATCTAATATCTCCCTTTAGTATACGCCACACAGGTGAACTGTACTTTTCTCATGCATTGATTGGCTATTTGGAAGTGAATAGCAAGTACTAATCACCTTGAGACAAAATTGCACGTCATTTCTGACCATTTTTTGGTATATTGAAAGAAACAAACTAAATTTTTGGTAGACCTGCTGAAAATTGCCTCCACTTTTTTGTGAATTTATTTTTACTTATGTAGATTTTCGGGAAAGGACGGTTTTTGATTAACGAGAAAGTTGATGGTTTTTGTGCATATCTCTAGCACAGAATATGTCCCCTTATTTCAAACTTGAATTTCTCCCTTCTGCTCGTCGAATAGACTTCCTGTTGACCTTTTTGAGTCATGGGTTTGGATTGCCACTATTTTTCTTAGAGAAACCGATCCTACCCGAAGACTCCAAGAGTTCCTACTACAAGTAAGGAGAATTTGGCGCAATCATCAAAGCGTGGTGTTGTCAAGTGCCTTTAAAAGCGCCTTTAAAAGCGCCTTTACAAGCGCCTTGACCAGCCCCTTTACAACCATGTCCTGCTGGGGCTCCAAATGAGCGTTTAATCTTAAAGTATCCATTTAGTGATTAGAACCCCCTAGCCAAGTTTACATGCAAAATTTGAGCCAAATCGGTAGACCTGCCTGTCCGGCCAGCCTCTCGTTTTGTAATTGGACAATTAGTTTAAACAGCGTGTTCATGAACACATTATCGCGTTCAAACGCATAGGAAAAAACTGTCGTAGTATTGGTAATACTAGGATTAACTACTGGCATGGCCTTAAAAAATTCTGCCATTTTAATTTCAACAAATCTGATGTTCGTGACACAAGAACTAATTATAACTAGGTAAAATTCCTCCAAAAGTTAATTACAATTTCCATTCGACTGAAACTAAGATAATCGAAAAATCAAACGACCAATTATTTTTCAAGTTCTATGGAAATCTTTACACGTGCATATGGCTGTAATAGCCTTATATAAACCTTAAGGCAAAACTGATTGAAAAAATTTTATGTTCGTGACACAAGAACTAATTATAACTAGGTAAAATTCCTCCAAAAGTTACTTACAATTTCCATTCGACTGTAACTAAGATAATCGAAAAATCAAACGACCAATTATTTTTCAAGTTTGCAGTCTTTACATGCATATGGCTGTGATAGCTTTATATAAACCTTAAGGTAAAAACCGATTCAGAAAAAAAAATGTAAAAACCATTTTGGGAGAACGTTTTCAAGGTGTTTACCCAACTTGAACGTGAATGTAACGCCTAAACTTGTTTATAGATAACATCTCGATTCCATTTCAGATGAAAAAATGTGATGATGATTTCAGTACATCATCAATTGAAAAAAATTACTTCTATTCGTTCT